TTGCTGAGTTTTTTGGCCAGGGATAGGAAGGCTTCTTCGATGGTTTCCCCCTCCCTGTCTGATAAGCTAATCTTCCTCTTCTTGCCTCCCCTGGAACTCTTATGAGAGCTCTTCCTTTTTTGGTCCTTGGCTTTTGAAGAGGAAGATGCACCGACCTCTTTAGCACCTGATTGGACCGGGACTTTGGGGGGATTAGCCCGGTCAACCTCAGAGTGATGCCTAGCTGAAGGAGATTTCAGCTTCTAGCTCTGCTCATGGATAGGGCTACACCGGGCACTTGTGGCCCCATCCATTCCAGGAGAGTTAGAGAGAGGAGACCGGTTGGAGTGGAGGACTTGGACATCATCGTCGTCATCCTCAATGATGGTGGTCATCCTGTTGAAGTTCATGTCTGCCAAAAAGAACAAAGTGACCGGTTAGATTTTACACCTTATCAAAATGAAAGTGGAATCAAAAGGTTGAGGAAAATTAACCAACCTGGATGAGGAGAGCCGGCCTCAGCGTGACCATCCGGGGAATCAGCCCGGTTATCCTCAGCGTCATGGGTCGCAGACGCACCCCCATCCGGGTTAGCTAGCCGGAATACCCAGCCCCCATAGGCATAAGGTTTCCCGGTCACAGGATCACCCTTGAGAAGTTTCTCGCAGGCGTCCTCAAGATCTTTAGTGGGCTCCGGTTGAACCCTTTCAGGTTTTATAACCCGGTCAGCCCACTCAGGGTTTGAGAGAGGAAATTGGTCAGGGGGGAATTCAACAAAAACAAATCTTTTCTTCCAGGGCACGTAGCTTTCTTGCTACGCTTCCTATCTTGTCCAGGTCATCCTCATCGTATGAGAGCCTGGTGTATGCCGACGCCCTCGGCTGGCTTTCTGCTTCCTCCTCGTCTTGGTGAATCGTCTCAGATTCCCTAGAACGACGAGATTGGGCGTGACGACCCCCGCCAAGTCTTTCCATTGCGCTAGTCCGGCCCATCTCAAGACCAAGATGTAGCTTGGCAGACTTGCGGGGTCCATCCTCTTTGCCCCCTAGGCGTTTGAATGCCGAGTCTCGAGTCTTGCTGGGTTCGGCTATAGCCTTACCCTTCTTCCTGCGGGCCGCCTCCTGCTCCGCCTCATTGATTTCATGGAAATTTGAGGGCGCTGCTTCATTCAAAGTCCTCGTCAAATTCACTGGATGTATAGGGACCATCCTAGGGACAAATGTCGACGGGGTCGACACCGGAGGTGGCATAATTGGCGGCGTCATACCAGGATAGGCAAATGGCATGAAACCACCTGCCTGTTGCATCATGGCCATCACCTGTTGATAGCCCTGTAGAGCCTGAGCATTTGCCGGGTCAGCAGCAAACTGAGCCCAAGCTAACGGGTATGGTGTGAATGCTCCACCAAGCGTTGTTATCGAGCCTGGAAACATTGTTGTCGTCGGCGTAGGAGTTGGGGTTAACATGATTGGGATCATGCCAATTGATCCTACAGTAGTGATCGGAGCAAAGGTCGTCCCCAGGCTCGACATCATCAATGGGATGGCAGGAGTGCTTTCACTCGCAGCTTGGCTTGACACAGCGTTGTAGTTGCTCGAAGACATGTTTGTGGATATTTAGTGGGGGTAAAGTTTTGACCTGGTCGAAAAACTTTAAAAATCGGTCCCACGGGTGGCGCCAAAAATGATAGTGTAAATATAGCTGGGTGGGTTAACCGGGTTTGACCTGGACACACTCGACCCGTAATATAAAACCCACAACAAGAACACAAAGTATGACCTAGACCGGGTAAATCTCCTCAGTCCGAATTATATTTCTTACTCTATCTCAAGAGTGAACTTTAGTGAGAGAAAAATTGGATCCCCTCCTCTATCCAATATCATCTTATTTATAGAGGAGGATTTGTGATCTTCCCCTGTTCATCCATGGACAAAATAGGAAGCTCGTGGGAAGGTCACTGTAGATAATGGGAACACTGTACAATCATAGAATTTAGCAACTATAGGCCAAGACATGTACTGTTCAATCAAAGACTTAAATGGATATTCTCAATCCAATCAACGCTGGAAAATGACAAACATCCCTTTCACTGTGTGCCTCGTGATGGATGAGCGGCGGGGTGTCCCCTTGACCTCTGACGTGGTTCACCATGCCTAAGAGACTGAACCAATGTTAGCCAAGTAAAGTGATATGACCGGTCACCTTCTCTCAAAAGTTACCCGGTCATTCTTTGTGCTCAACCCGTCTCTGGTCTTCTAGAATGTCCTTTGTAACATTAGGCGACATTTTGGCTNTCCCTTTCACTGTGTGCCTCGTGATGGATGAGCGGCGGGGTGTCCCCTTGACCTCTGACGTGGTTCACCATGCCTAAGAGACTGAACCAATGTTAGCCAAGTAAAGTGATATGACCGGTCACCTTCTCTCAAAAGTTACCCGGTCATTCTTTGTGCTCAACCCGTCTCTGGTCTTCTAGAATGTCCTTTGTAACATTAGGCGACATTTTGGCTATCGCCCAAAATGTGACTGGTCACTTTTTTTTAGTGGAAGTGACCGGTCAACTTTTGATCCGTCCCAATCGAAGAGTTCACCTCATTTGGTGATTGATAAAAGTGACCGGTCATTTTTTGACCTGTTCCTTTCGGTTGTCCGGGTCGGATATAAGGATATATCCATCAGACCTTGGTGCATTTGTAGCATATAAGAAGTGAACCTTTTGTCAAAAAGAAGATATATCCACATTCAAGTACATAAAAATGCAAGAAAATCTACATTTTAAATATATATACTTTGGGACTATATAACCATCACTCTTATCCTTATTGTAAAAAGTGCGATTTGACTTTTTTTAGTCCTTTCATCCACAAAAGAACATCTCGTTTTGAATAATGTACAAAATTTTGTACATTTTAAAATTATTTTTTAACAAATTAGTATAAATAAATAATACAAACTGCATATCTCAATAATTATATTAAAACTTTTGAAATTATAAAATAAAATATGAGTAAAAGTAATTTATTTTTTCAAATTATTAAGGAGTAATAAAAATCTACAAAAGTATTGAAAACTCAAACAATACTCCGTAAACAAGAAGTAACTTCATTTTAAAGAGGCATAACCGGAAGAGAGAGACCTCCAAACGCACTTGACTAAGGTGACTCTGACCAATGTCCGAAAATTTCTCGTCCGTGTCTTACGTCAATTTAATTTTTGAATGCTGTGCATCTTTTGACTTTTTTCACGTTGCAGCTTCTTCTTTTTAGACATTTTTTCCATTCTTAGTACTTTTCGAGTACATCATTCATCTTTGAATTTTAATCTTTTTTTACACGTTTTGGCTATTTATTTGATAAAATAATATAGTTTTGTCATCTTTTGTTATGTAATACTTTTTATATATATTTAAAATATATAAATTTTATTTTTTAATTCTATACCAATTCTTAAATAATTTGATTTGAAAATAATTTCAATCAAATCTCGTACACAACAGCAGACAATTTAAATTGGATCGGATGGAATATTATTTGATAAACATTTATAGTTTACCAAAAAATAAAATACTCACCCACTATCATTTTGTTGTGCGAAATGAGCTTTGTTTAAAACAAAATAGTTAGGCTGCCATTAGCTATCTAACAGCGATCCAAAACCTGCACACAAGTGAAAGATTGGATTATTGTGCATAATATTGAATTGTGAGATTAGTTTTAGAAGAGCCCATAAGATTATTTGAGATAAAATTTTCATTAGTTATGGTGGTGTTCGGTTTCAACGCAAGATCCAAACTCTTTTTTTCGATGCCGTCGAAATTCCTTCTTCATGCGCAAGATCCTCATATTGTAAATATAAACTCCAAAATAATATTTAAATAAAGAATTAATTAACAAAAAAATATTTTTTTTGTGGAAATTAAATTTTGTATTTCTTATCACAAATTCCTCAGCATGATCACCTTTAGAAACTTTTACGGAGTATATCTTAAACTTCATATTGGAAAATATTTAAATTAAATAATATTTTTTGAAATTGAAAAAAGAACATATTCAAAAAAATAATTCAAACATATAAATTTATTCAAAGAACATATAGATTGGCAGGACTAAAGGAAATTACAAGTGAATATTTGTTTTTGCTCTGAATGAATACTAATCGGAAAGATTTTTCAAATATTGAAAAATAGAAACAAATATATAAATGGAAAAATATTTTTATTGGCATAATTTATTTAATAAAGCTTTAATGTTATTTCGTATATAGTAAAAAAACGTAACATTTTAAGTCAAATAACAAGTATATTACATTCCATTTTAAAATTAGTATTTTCTATTTTAAAAATTACTTTATAAAAATTTATAATATTGATTTTTATAATAAAGTTAATTACTATTAAATATTTTTCATTAATAACTTTATAAAAATTTATAGATTCGGGCCACAAAAATTACTATTTTCCACTAATAACTTTGTAAAATGGTGAAGACTTGGTACGGTAATATATATGCGTAATAAATTAATTATTAATTAGTGTTCACAATCAAAATATTTATGATATAATATTGATTTTTATAATAAAATTAATTACTATTAAATAAAATTCTTGAAAAACATAAAATGTGTTTATTTTGACATCTATGTCAAAACAATATAAATAAGTAATATTCTTGCTTATTTATTCATCTGACCATCTACAACAAAAGGTACTCCCCTACTTCGATATCAACAATGCAAGAGCAATGTAACAAAAAATGGTTAATGGCAAGAGAAGCAAGAACACAAAGAAAGGAAGTATTTCGGCGAAGAAAAACACCCAATAATGATACGGAGTATATTTGAGCTAATTATTTTGTTTTCTTGATTCAAAGGAATTCTTATTTTTAATAAAGATTTAGTTTTGTGAAATAAAGATACTTTGTACATTATTATTAAGTTTCGTATTATTCATAGAGGAATTCGTTAAAAATAAAATATAAATAACCCAACGCATATATGTTTAGGATTTTTGGAATAACTAAAAAAACATTGTTGACTCTAATTTTTAGATTATATGTGCAACATGTAAGTTGTGTAAAATGCTAAATATTTATAAAGACGGGCTATATAATATTTTATTTTTCTTGTAGATATAATAAATTTTGGGGAACCCACATTTATGTGTTATTTTTGTGGAGCTTTATTATGGTACGAAGAAAGAGCCGAAAACAAAAATGATTTAGAACATCCAAAGTTTTCAAAATGTTTCATGAAAGGAAAAGTTTAACTGCCTCTTCTAATTAAGGAAAACTCTAGCTTTGTTTTATAATTTATTTTATGAAATTGATTTGAGGAGTTCTTATTTCCATGAAAAATTTAAGAAAATACAACGGTAAGTTTTCGTTCACGTCTATGGATGGAAATATTGATACAACTAACAACAACGATCGAGCATCTTCGTAATGTACTCGAAGCAGGCACTTTATTTCTTATTTTGATAATGAATATGTAGGTTTTTTTGAAAGAATGTAGGTATTAATAAATCTCAATTTTCTAATGGCATGTTTGCGAAGTGAAATTTAGATTTTAAATTTGCATTTGACTCAAATTCATGTTCAAAAAATCTTAAAATTTTTTATTTAGATTTGAGGCGAGTTACATTAATGGTGGTGATTCTTTTGATTCAATATGGGTAAGATTTAGGTTTGAGGTGTTGACGGTTTGGAGGTAAGTATTTAGATTGGAGGAAGAACAATGACCCGGCAGCGGCTAATGATGGTGCCACCCGCCAGGAGCGAAGACAGAAAATTTTAGGTCACCAAGAACTTTACTCCGATACCATGTAAAAAATAATCGGAAGAGAAAATATTTTGTATATTGAATTGTTTTGGAATTTATAAAGGTCCAACCCTCTATATATATAGGAAGAGGATAAAGCAAATGAGTGAACTTCTATTCCTACCATAATTTTATTCCTACTATAACAATAGTTATATCAAAATGGATTCAGTTCCCTTTTCTGCATATATTTTTCGTAGCACAATGTCACAAGATAACCCGAGAGTCATATAATGTCTCGTTTGTAAAATTAACAGTTCACATCCCACGATCCCGATAAACCTCCCACCTTGTCTTGATCCGAACTTACCCCCACCTTGAATTGCACTCTCTTCCAGAAACGTGGTATCATCCAAATCTTAAAAGTTTGGATTTAAATTTGAGGCAAACTACAGTATTCATTACAAAGTTCAATTGCAAATTTGTATTTCTCTCATTGTTATTTGAAATAAAAAAAATTCAAGTTGTGAAATTGAAATGCATGAATTTAAATAAAATGTCAGTTTCTAAATGCTACCTAAAGAGTTTCTATATTTTATTATTCCCTCCGTCCGGAAATAATCTTCCCGTTTCTCCTTTTTTCCCGTCCGGAAAAAAATCTCCCCATTTCAATTTTTGATACACTAACTACCCAAAATACCCTCACTTACCATTTTCACTCTCTCCCCCTCTTCCCTTTTTCTCCCCTTCCTCGCCACTCAATTCTTATCTTTTTCTCCTTCTCTCCTTCCTCTTCTCTATTTCTTCATCCGTTCCTCCTCTCTTTCCTCTTCACTTTTTCTTTTTCTTTTCCCCCTATTCTTCTTCCCTCGTCTCCAAATCTGTTATTCTTCCTTCCTTCTTCTTCTTCTCAAATCTTCTTCTTATTCCTTTTCTTCTTCTTCCTCTCTTTTTCCAATTATTCTTTTCCCTCTCTCCAAGATCTACGGTAGATCTGGTTGAAGGGGCACGATGGTGACTGGTGAGGGTTGATGGGCGATGGTGATGAGGGTTGAGGGACGATGGTGTTGACGGTTAAGGCGACAGTGGTGGGCCTGGATCAATTGTGGCAGGGTCGATGGAGATGGTCAGGTTAGGGGCGGCGGCGATGATAGAGCCGACGATGATGGGGGGTGGTGGGTGCTCGCCTCGACAGAAAACATCGCCAACGATGATGGGGGATAGTGGGTGTTAGCCTCGGCAGAAATCAGCGGGGGGTGTAGGACTGTAAAAGTGTAAAACAATTAAGAAATGAGGGGTATATTAGTCATTTCCCTTCCAAAGTCAACCATTCAAAAAAATGAGAAAAAGTTCAAACGGGAAGATTTTACCCGGACGGAGGGAGTATCACTTTTTGTACAAGGCGAAGTAAAAATACCAAGAATTGAAAATTGAAATGGCTAGGGAGTACGAAAAACGGCTAAGCAATGTGAAAAGAACAGTCCATAAAAGAAAGGATCATGCTACTCTCACCCCATTTTGTATCCCATTTTATATTACAAACCTTTAACCTGACATAAAATGTAGGTGCAACACTAACTTAATATCAATTTCGCATTTACATTTAGTGTCAGGACAAATTGAAGTACAAAATGAAATACAAATACAGGATGCAAGTATAATTTTCCTAAAAGAAAGGAGATTATGAAGACGAGTTAACATTGTGTATATAAATACGATGTTAGGAGTACACCAAAGGCGGGTACACCAAAGGTGTACCCCATTTGTCCCCCACCCCCTCCATCACCACAAAAAAGGCAAGAAAATAAAAAAAATTAAATAGATAAAAATAAAATAAAATTGAATTGTGGATAAAGAGGTGTGGGACAAATGGGGTACACCTTAAGTGTAAGGTGTACCTTACCATTCCTCTCACACAATACTTGCACAAATACTTACACTTAGACCTGGCAAAACGGTCGGTCAGGTTGGGTTTGGTTTCGGTATTATTGGGTTCGAGTCACTTCGGGTTCGGGTCTAAGAATGCTTGTTCATGACCCAGAGCTATGGGGTTCGAGTTTACCCAACGGGTTAAGAGACGTATTTAGAAATTGAAAATTTTCCACTTAGAGATGAAGTGATCAATGCATTTTTCAAAACAAAGAAAAAAAACTCATTCAAAACATCAACAAAAAAGTAAACATAGCAAAAAATTCTAAACATCATCATGTCCCAAATGAACCATCCAAGCACACTAATCAAAATGCTATATAATTTAGAGTTCAAACAAAATGATTAAAAGTTCCTTCTCAAGTGAAGTCATCCCCCATCTCAATTTGATGTTTATCACGACTAGAACGTCTGAAATCCAACTCAAAGTCTTTTTCAAGTTTGTCACATTCATCTATATATTAATACAATAACACATGTATGTCCCAGCATGCTAATTGCCAACAAACAACAATATGTGGACTTGCGAAGTAATGAAGTATATATGCTACTCCAGGAGTCCAGGACAAACCAATACTCCGTAAATAGAAGAAAAAAACATATTAAACAATACTCTGTAAATAGAAAACACAGATTTTAGATTTTAAATTTTAGGAGAGAGTTAAACATGAGTTACCTATAGACCCAATTGAAGATGATGAATTGGGATCAGGAATTCCACTATTGTGTTTATTTCTTCTCACCATTGAGCCGACGCCATTGGAGTTCGGAGGATGATTGACGGATGACTGTAAAAATTGGCAGAGACTCGGAGAAAATGGGAGAGGGAGAGGCGGCCGATGGAGAAAGTGTGAGAGGGAGAGTCGGCCGATGGAGAAAATCTGAGAGGGAGAATCGGCCGATTGAGGTTCAGAGAAATCCTGAGAGGGTGACTGCAACAATTAGCGGAGATTAGGTTTAAGGGCCGGTGGTGTTTTCAGGCTTATGTATGAATGATAAAGAAAAATGTAAAATCTTAATTCTTAATCTTGGAATGCCTAACCCGTTGGGTCAGACCCGACCCGACCCGATCTGACTCGAAATTTTAACGGGTCCTCGGGTTCGGGTTATTTCGGGTTCAGATCACAAAAAATATGTTCAAAACCCGCTAGTTTCGGATCAGGTTTCGAGTAAAAAATAGGTCGGGTCATATTTTGCAGGCCTACTTACACTTGACTGGTACAGTGTCTACTCGACAGTTAAATAAACCAAATGACCAAAGTCCCAAACCAACCCTCTGTACTCGTAACATTTTTTTCTCTTCTTCTTTCTCCTCTGTTTTTCTATTTCTTTCTCTGTTATTAATCTTCGGACCCCATTAAAATGCTTTCCCATTCTTCCTCAGATTTTCAGTCCACACTAAAACCCAAGTCCCAAATCCCCGCCCACCCTCGTTTCTGGGTCTTCACACTCACCATCCTCTCCATCCAAGTCCTTGTCATCTTACTGGCCCGCAATTCACTCTTCCCCGTCGCCGTCCATCCGACGGAGGCGGTGTCTTTTCCGGCCACCTCCACCAGCCGGGAGGCGGAAGCGGGCGGAGGATGTAAGTACGGCAGGGTTTACGTGTACGACCTGCCCCGGATGTTTAACCGGGACTTGATCCCGGAGAACTTCTCCGATTGGCACCCTTACAATCGGCAGAGCGGGCTTTACGTCAACGACGGGCTGGGGAAAAAGTCGAGGGCGCTCACCGGGATCTTGCCGGTGAACATCGCGGCGGCGTGGCATGATACGAACCAGTTCTCGACGGACGTGATCTATCACCGCCGGATTCTGAACTACCGGTGCAGAACGAGGGATCCGGAATCGGCTACGGCGTTCTACATCCCGTTCTACGCCGGACTCGCGGTGGGGAAGTATTTGTGGGTGGAAGGCTTCGAGAAACGCGATCGGCTCTGTACGAAGATGCTCCGGTGGGTCCAGAACCAGACCCATTGGAAGAAATCTAACGGCTCAGATCATTTCCTCACGCTGGGGCGAATCACATGGGATTTCCGCCGTCTGGAGGTGGATGATAAGGAATGGGGATCTGCCTTCCTCAACATGCCCGGGATGGAGAAGGTCACGCGCTTCACCATCGAGAGAGCGTCGTGGGACGACCGCGACGTCGGTGTGCCGTACCCCACCGGATTCCACCCCGGCTCCGAGTCGCAGCTCCGGCAATGGCAGCAATTTGTCCTCTCCCGGAAACGGCCCCACCTCTTCTCCTTGGTGGGAGCCCCACGCCCCAACACGGAAGGCGACTTCAGGACTCTGCTCCTCCGCTACTGCCAAAACCACTCCGACGCCAGCCGGGTGGTCGATTGCTCTCGGACGCCGTGCGACACCCACCCGGCTGTAGTCCAAGACGTCTTCCTGAGCTCCGATTTCTTCTTGCAGCCGGAAGGGGACAGCAAGACGAGGCGGTCCATGTTCGACTGCATGATCGCCGGATCGGTCCCGGTGATTTTCTGGCCGGAGACGGCGTACGGTCAGTACCCGTGGTTCTTGCCGGAGGATACCGAGAGTTATTCCGTGTTCATCCACCACGACGGCGTGAGGAACGGGTCGGCGTCCATTAGAGGGATCCTGGAGAAGAATTACAGCAAGGAGAAGATCAGGAAAATGAGGGAGAAAGTGGTGGAGACCATCCCGAGATTGATCTATGCGAGAACGAAGAAGGGATTCGATAATGTTAAGGACGCGTTTGACATTGCTGTTGAAGGTGCGATGAGGAGAATCAGAGAGGACAAGGGAATGAGTTCGCAGATTAGATTGAATCGTTAAGATCCCACTACAGGCTCCTTTTTTGAAATTATATGGTACGGTACAACTTATGTATCTATTTTCTTGTAGTGCATATAAAGCCATTTGTTTTCTACAAGTTACTGCGAAGGTTTAGTGAGTTTTTGTATGAAAAACTTGGGAGAAGTCAATTACATGTTAGGTATCAAAATCTATAGAGATAGATCATTAAAATTTCTAGGCCTGAACTTGAAATACATATATAGACAAGTTAGTCGGAAGGTTCAATATAAATATAATGATTCAAAGAAAGGTTCTTCAATTTGCCTGTGATCCAAGACACGAATCATTAAAAGATTCAATGTGTTACGACCAATGAGGAACATGTTGAAGACCTAACGCAAGACGACGAGGTCGGAATGGAAGACACTAATGAGGGTCTTAGGCAAGCACTCGGGAACGAAGATCGCCGGCAAAACCCTTAGGCTTCTACAGCCTTAGGCTTGGTATCTATAATAATATCAACTATCACCTCTTCTCTCCTTCTCTTCCCAAAACCCTCCATTTTTATTCTCCCCTCTTTTTGGCTCAATTCTCTCCCTCGCTCACACAAGCTTCCCTGCCTAGCCTCTCGTCGTTCTCTATAAGTCAGGTTCGAAGAAGCCAACAAACTTTTCCTTTGGTACATGACGTATCAACTGGTGCTTTCATTATGTCGGGCAAAGCTACATCGATTCCTCAGCGCGAGACTCAAGATGAACACATCGAGACACTTCAACCGACGATGCATCAGATGCAGCAAGATTTGGAGACCTTTCACAACTTGAAGCACTGGTTTTGGCCAATAGGCCGGTTCTACTGACACCCCCTCCGGGATGGTTCTCAACCGATGAGCAGCCGCATCACCACTATTAGGAATAATAGATGTATTAGGAAATAAAACATTATTATTCATTAGTTTCCTTATTATATTTTTTTCTTATTGTTTTGTTATTATAGTTCTTATCATACTATGATTAGGACTCTCTCTTGCAATCCTTATAAATATGGATGTATTCTTCAATGTTCAATAAGAACAATTATTATCAAATTGTATCATGATATAAGAGCTAAGGTTCTCTAAAACTTAGACCCTTCTTTAAGACCGAGCACATCACCGGTCTCTGTTTACGGTGGTCGATCGTCTGACAGCATGGCGTCACCGACCAATCTCGACGAGCGTGTCTAATAGTCGCCGTCCATTATCCCTCTCTTTCTCTCTACAAGTCAGGTTCCTTTTCATACGTGACGTATCAACTGGTGCTTTCATTATGTAGGGTGAGGCTACAACGATTCCTCTGTGCGAGACTCAAGACGAACACATCGAAATGCTTCAATAGACGATGCATCAAATGCATCAAGATTAGGGGACCAAAGTTTCACGGTTTGAAGCACTGGTTTTGGCCAATAGGCCATTTCTACCGACGGTTCCCAACCAGCAAGCAACTGCATCACCACCACAACAAGACATTGGGATCGACATTGCAGGGAGGGCTGCCAAAACCTAAATTGGACGCACCTAAAATCGATGGTAAAGAGGCCCTCCGTTTGTTGTACAAGGTGCAAGAATACTTTGCCTTCTATGAAACACCTCCAACCGAGAGAATGTGTTGTCTTGCTCTGATGTTAGAGGGAGCAGATTGGTTCCGATGGCAGATGAAAGGCAAACTATTCACGGACTGGGCTAATTTTGAAGATAAATTTTGACTTTGTTTCGACCCGCTACACTATGTGGACTACTTTGGTCAATTGGCTAAACTCCTCCAAACCAGAATGGTTATGGAGTACTAGACAGTGTTTGAAAACATCTTGCAACATGTCATAGGCGCATTCGAGGCAAATTAAGTGTCCCTAATCCACTCTGGTCTCAAGCCGCACTTGCAACACGAGATCACCCTTATGGCCCCAGAGATGTTAGCCGATTCCTTTGTAGTGACTTGTGAGTCGGAAGCAAAAAATAATGCTCTCATGCAAAATGTCAACCATCGGTAGACTACTTGGCATGCAAGTTCCACTAGACGTTCTGCGTTGCCACATTCTCAATCATCTGCGACTCCGCTATAACGGAAAGCGCGTCCCCATTGGCCAGACCCATTTGGCGACTGACTCCAGTAGAAAAATTCAAAAAGGATACGAAAGGCCTATGTTATAATTGTGACCAACGATGGGTGAAAGGACATTGTTGTGGCCATGTCTTACTTCTTATTGGTGATGATGATGACGCCCTACACCCATGTCAGGAAGAGATACTGGCGCCGAGGGATGCACCACGTGTGACAGCAGACATTCCAGCGTGCAAACCATGATTGGGGCCCCGACTCCGCGCTCCTTACACCTTACTAGTCGCATAGGAACCCAGGATATACATGTAGTAATTGATAGCGGTAACACCCATAAATTTATTCATCATGTAGTATTTAGCCTGTTTCATGTGTATGTGGGCAACGATGATTATTTTTTATGTGATACCCAATGCGTGAATGTGCAACTCGAATGGCAGGGAACGGTCTTCCCGGTGGATTTGCTCGTCTTACAGATACACGACCCTGATGTGGTATTGGGGGTACAATGGTTGCAGTTATCGGGAAAAGTCGGCCACTAATACTGCACACAAACAATGGAGTTTCAGTGGAAGGACAAGATGATCCTCTTGCATGGTAGTCCCCAAACACCTAAGGTTGTGTCCATGCAGGCAATAAGCATCATGCAAAACCTGTGGTAATTGGTAGATTGTTATTAACTAGTCTACTTGAACTTGCAATCCAACTAGGTGACTTCATTTCCATATAACATACTGCAACCCATCTAGTGGATTTTGAACCGCCATGCTCAGGTCTTTGCTACACCAACGTCGTTACCTCGCTAACCATTGTTGACCATCGAATCTTCTTAAGTCCAAGAGTAGCATGAGTGAATGTCCGACCATACCACTATCCGTACTATTAAAAAGAGGTTATTGAACAACTTGTGTGGGAGATGATGAACCAAGGGATTATTCAACCGAGTTGGAGTCCTTTTTCTTCCCCGGTTCTCTTGGTCAAGAAGAAGGAAGGAAGCTTTTGTTTTTGTGTGGACTATAGAGCTCTAAATGATATTATCGTAGCAGACCACTTTCCCATTCCTACACCCAATGAATTATTTGATGAACTCGGCCATGTGCGGCGTTTCACTAAGCTGGATTTGCGCGCGGGATACCATCAAATCCGAATCCATGACAAGTACATCTACAAAATAGCGTTTTGCATGCATGAAGACGAATATGAAGTTTTAGTGATACCGTTTGGGCCCACCAACGCCCCATTGACATTTCAAGCTTGCATGAATCTGTTATTCGGCCCATATCTTTGCCGCTTTGTTAGTCTTCTTCGATGACATTTTGATTTATAGTGCCTCTGTGGAGACACACGTCAAGCACCTAGAGGTAGTCTTTGGTCTGTTGCAATCTCATTCTTTTTATGTTACGTAATCCAAGTGTTCGTTTGTAGGGACTCCATTAAGTATTTTGGCCATATCATTACAGCCTGGTAGCCGACTCGTCAAAGATTGAGGCAATGGTTGGGTGGCTGACGCCAACATCTCTCCAACAACTACGTGGTTTTCTTGGGCTCATTGGCTATTATCGCTGGTTCATTTGGCATTATTCCGACATTGCATCCTCTTTCACAAATTTATTTAAGAAGGATGCTTTTCGGTGGGACAACACGGCCGCCACTGCCTTCGCAACCCTCAAAGCAACCATGACGTTAGCCCTGGTCCTTCAGCTCCCAGACTTTACTATGCAGTATGTTCTAGAGACGAATGCTAGTTCTACCAGGATTGGGGTAGTGCTTTTTCAGCACGAGCAACCCATCACTTTTTTTAGTAAAAAGCTTGGTCCCCATCGGGTGTCCGCCTGTGCCTATCATCGAGAACTATATAGCATTGTTGAAGCCATCCAGAAATGGCATTAGTACTTGTGGGACGTGAATTTATCATCCGCACAGATCAAAAGAATCTTCGGGAGTTGTGGCAACAAGTCAAACAATAAACCCCAGATCAACAATTTTACGTCCAAAAATTATTGGGTTTTCATTTCCATATCGAATACAAAACCAACACCTCGAATAGGGCCGCTCACTCCCTTTCTTGGCTGGATGAGCCACAATGTGCAACTACACACTTGTCCAATTATCTCAGCCTGTTCCAGATTTATTGGCCGTCATTTAAAGGGAAAAAAACACTCAACCCGACTTGGTTCGATTGCATGAAGCAAATAAATAAGCCAAACTACCATTAGAATTCTCCGCCACTGTTGGCATATTATTTTACCGGGCATGTCTGTATCGGTAAACATTCTAATATCTAGAAATCCTTATTGGGGGAATATCATGACACACCGATTGTAGGCCATACCAGGGTACAACAGACCTTCCAGAAACTTGCGATGGCTTTTTACTAGCCATCCATGCGTAATGACATGAAGCAGTACGTCTCTAACTATCTTATCTACCAAATTACTATGTATTTAACGCAACCACTGGCAGAGATGTTACGAGCACTACTTGTTCCGAACTAGATTTGGGAGGGTATCAATGGATTTCATCTTGGGCTTGCCCCCATCTCGGGGGTTTACTGTTGTTTTGGTCGTGGTTGTCCATTTGATGAAGTTTGTGAACTTGGGAGCCCTACCCGCAGAATTTGGTGAACATCAGGATGCGTGCGACCGCGGATAGCCACATGTTAGAATTACAATTTGTTCCAAGGGACTTGGTGCTGCTCCAACTACAGCCATACAATCAACACTTGGTCGTGGCTCGACGGTCTTAAAAACTTGTGCGACGTTATTATGGGCCTTTTTGGGTTATTGAACGCTTGGCGAGACCGCGTATCGTCTGGAGCTTCCCACCAACATGCGTGTTCATTTCGTCTTCCACATGTCATTGTTGAAACCATACCAGGGAGAGGTTGAGTTCGTTTCGGCATTGCCCTTGCCAGCAGAGTTCGTGCATGGAGATCTAGAGGAGCAAATAGTTGTTGAATGGTTGGACTAAAGTTTAGACGATGCCACCTGGGAACCGTTGGCGCCTCTTCATTCTTTATTTCCCAATGTGCAGCTTGAGGAAGGGGTGAATTTTGATCAGGGGAGAGTGTTACGACTAATGGGGTTGGGAAATCACAAGAGGAACAGGTTGAAGACCTAACGCATGACGACGATGTCAGAATGGAAGACACTAATAAGGGTCTCAGGCAAAGCACTCGAGAACAAAGACTGCCAAGATATAAAGATTATGAAGCCTAATAGTTCTTAATATCATATTTTAATTTTGTAATTAGATTTTCGTAGGTTAGCATAATTATAAGCTTCTTCAAGGGTTTGCTTTCAATTCTTTACCTCTATGCTTTTGTTTTGAACCGACATGTTAGATAATTAGATCTTTGGGTTTGGCAAACTATCTTCTATTTGATAGGGCTTCTAAAGCCTTGGGCTTGGTATCAATAATAATTATATCAAATTCTCGCCTCTTCTCTCCTCTTTCGAAAACCCTCCTTTTCTTATTCTCCCCTCTCGTTAGCTCAATTCTCTCCCTCGCTCACACAAGCTTCCCCGCTCTAGCCTCTCTTCGTTCTCCACAAGTAAGGTTCGAAGGAGCCATCAAACCTTCCCTTTGGTACGTGACGTATCACAATGGCCCTTCACGCCGTAAGGGAGGGGGCGCATGTGAATTGTTCCCATGAATTTGTCATGAGATCTATCATGTAATCAATGTATACCATGACAAATACTTGACTCAGGGCCGCATTTGTCAATGAAAACCTATTATTATCTCACAGATGAATCCAACAACCCTGAATACTACGAACATCACACAAATATTTTAAATTTATAGTAATATATATGATTCATTGTCCTTAGTTCAATTATGCAACCCTTAGTAAAGGAAATACGTGACAACTTTTCTAGGTTTGCATCCTTCACCAAATTGAGAAGCTACTTTAAACGTGTCCCATTACTCTAGAGTGAAGGCTAGAACTACCACGGCTTCCCATCATGTAAAGCATCTGTGACGATCATCGTATTAGCTGCGTGCACCTCCCATAAGTGCACATGAGATATGGATCAATGTCGTTCATATTAATGTCATGTTCTCTTCACCTGATCTGAATGGTTCTAATCTGATCTATATTTGACTGTAGTTATATATAAAGGAAAATAAAGGTGTTTCTAATCTCATATGATCTGATAGCAATAAGAATAAGCAATAAGTAATAAGAATAAGTTGAAGAGAATATACCTAAATCGTCCCATATCTCTTCAACTTTCTGTTATATGAGGGAATGCTTAATTGCCAGCCCATGTGTAGTCAGTGTTGCCAGCCTTGTTGCCGCTAACATCCTCTGCATTATCGCGGCCAGTCTTGCCAGCGTTAGAACCCTCCGTTGTGTGGTGCTCCTCAGAAGTCATGGTAGATCGGTGGTTGTTCGAGCAACAACGATCTTATTAGATTAAGGTACGTTTTAGGCTCTGATACCATAAATGAATAATATGTGGAAAATGTTTTTGTATATTTGTGAATAAATATAAGAGTTAAGTTCTAAAATGATACTTTAAAACTAGATGTTTTCCAACTTCGTCGCTAAGATAAATTAATTGCCAAAGTGGTACTCATTAATTGAGAGTAACGTTCAGGTTAGTCCATCGACTAATAGTCCGTCCAAATGCCGTTAAAATTAGGGGTATTTTGGTTTTCCAGCATCGAACTTATACTTTCTCAAAATGGTCCTGCCTAATTTGATGTTTTTCCAAATTGGTCTATTTCTAAAATAAAAATCCATTATATATGAAAAACATTTTTAAACTCTCTAGTATGAGAATATAAGAAATATAATTAGAAATATAATTTTATAAATTTGAAAGTAAACACACAAGATTGTTAAGTATATCATATAAGGGTTAAGGAGCAAAATAGGAGTAAAACATTGATTAAAATCCAAAATAGGAGTAAAAACATAAAACCCCCAAAATAGGAGTTGTTGACTCACCGTTTACCACCGCCAAGATCTGTTATCGTCGCACGTTGTCGGCATCGCTAACCCCCACAGGTGTAGGGCCATGGTGTTACATGGAGAAAAAAATAATTCACACACTGTCAATCGAAATACAATGCTAGAATTGACAACATACAGTGACAAACATGACATTGTAAGATGCAAAAATACAAAATTTTAGGTCAATTGAAAACAAAATACCAAAGATGTCAATGCACAGTGACAAACATGGCTCTGCAAAATGCCAAAAGTTCAATTGTACTCGGTGATACATGTGCATGCATCAAGCCCACGAAGTCATTAATTATGGGAAGAAGACAATTAAAATAAATAAACACACAATCTCTCCATTGTTAGCTCTATGCCAAAAAAACAAAAAAATTCCACCCCACCAATAATAATAAAAAAAGAATCCCAAAAAAGAAAAAAGAAAACAAATAGAAAGAGTTTGGATTGAAGAAGTAATAGCTAGCCATATACTCCCGGCAGCTAAACAATTAATTTGGATTGTTTCGGCTAAACAATTAACTTGGATTGAAGAAGTCATGTTCAAGTGAAAATATGATCTTATGAAAGAAATAAGAATGATTTATAACCATTAGATGTGTTGAAATACGGAGACTCTCAAGCATATACGTGGTGCCTATTTTGGGGATTTTACATTAGATTTACTCTCTCCGGAAAATCAGCGCTCAATCCCCACCATTCTAGTTTTCTGTTTCCTTTTCTTCTTACGATGTCAATCTTAATTCTTTGTTGTGATTTTCCTAGTTCCTGATTTTGCTGCTCAACAAGAAAGCAACAATCTTCATCCATTGCTAGGGTTCATGGAATTATATCATCAAATCAGGTATGTGTTTGTTCTTTATCTCGACACAAAGCTTTTTTATTTTATTATTCTATGTTGACTCTATCTTAACTGGATTTCCCAAATCCATTCACACAGTTGTATATTGGAAACGAGTATTTGTTTGATCTTTCAATCCATTCAATCAATTGTTCTATCTAGAAATTTTGGATTTCTAGTCTTTATGTTTGACCTATTGCCTTTAGTATGTAAAATTATGTTCACATTTTTTTCATGCGGAGTATTACATAAGCCATTTGAAATTCCAAATGTTTGTGTTTTTTTCACAAAGCACCAGTTTTAGATTTGTTGTTATTGTTAGATGTTGAAAAATATCCCTCCAACATTGAGGAAATGCCTAATTTAATTGGATAATATAACTCTCTCATTTGTGTGCCTAAGGAACAATAAAAAAAACAAAGAGGAATGCATCATATTACTAATACTGTGCACTTCTGTGCGGCTAGAATTCGAGGTGCGTTATAAATAAAGTCTTAATGAGTTTCTGTTATTGTGCATTATCATCATAAGTGTAATGCATTTACATAATAACGCAATGCATTATTAGAATCTAAAAAAGGATAATGCATCATATTACTATTACTGTGCATTTCTTAAATCAAAAAAATATTCATTTATCACATGGTAAAATTCTCCTGAAAGTAATTGGATGCATTTGTATATTCTACATGGTGAATTTTTATCATTCACGATGCATTTAAAATGTTCTATGATACATTTGAATAAGGGTTTGGAAAACTTTAAATGATACAAATTTTAAAAGATTAAATTTTGTATGTAATAGGTCCAAGTGCAAGATGAGAGTCTTTTTGAAAAACTAAATCATTGCCTACTAGCTCAAATGGTAGAGCAGTATGTACTACAGATGTGGGTTCAAATCCCGCATAGGCAAACTATTTCTTAAATTTTACAAATAATTATTCTCAATACAATGCATTATTAGGCTTTCTCATCACGTATAAAGTCGCTCAAAAATCATAATTCACTAATCCATAAATCTATTAAAAAAATTAAATAAAATTTAAAAGACAAATCACAGTGCATATATCGACCATCACAGTGCACTCAAATAGATTGGTATTTGCAAATATCACAATGCATCTACCCAAAACAATTTCGGAGAAGTGTGATTTTAAAAAATCTATTCCTGAAGTAGATGTATTTTTAAAAATACAATCTCATTATATTATTGAAAGGAAGAAATATGGGGTATACGACTACTTAGTGAAATCATTACCATTTTTTGCACTTGGAAAACCCAAATATGCCCCTCTGCGGACTATCATCCCCTATTTTAATGCATTGTAATTATTACATACCATTTTAAAACTTGTTTGGTCAACCATTAAAAATCGTAATTACAGCCATCCGCTGCTTCTTAATCTAACGCTTTTAAATTATTTTTATTTCTTTCACTAAGCACCATTTTTACAGGTACCGGCCCCTATATATATATATATATATATATATATATATATATATATATATATATATATATATATATATATATAGGGATTGACTCCACCAGTCAGATAACACCTTACGGTGAGATGTCATGCTACGGAAATTAAATGATTACTAAACTAAATTTTATTTAAATATTAATTTCATATTTCATATTGGCGATGATTATTGAGGATTTTTTAAACTGAATTTAGTTTCATAATACTTCTAGTTTCCTCTTTTCCTTTCTTGGGTCCGGGTTATTTCTCCGACAGTTTCGCTTCGGTTGTAAATTTATCCGTAATATAGTCAACAAAGAGACCTACAATTTCAATTATGAGGGATAAAGTTTTCAACTTTATTTTGTTCAAGATTGATCGTGAATCTACCTCGTTAGAAATTTGTATGTATTTTTTACCCAATTTTAGCCACGTTTCCCTGAACTAGAACTGGACTTATGTCATACTTTGGGCCCAAATTTAGGAGATACTGGAATATTTTGACTTTCTAAAAAGCATCACCTATTTTATTTGGGTTATAAATTATAGACTAAATTTTTTAATTGGTCTTTTATAACAAAGAAGATTTCAAATTTAGTCTTTTATTATCAAATATTACACATGTATTCCTTTGTTTATGAGTGTTTTTCCATAAATAGTCCTTTTTTGATCTTCTCTCATGTTGATTTTTAATTTAAAGGGTAAAAATATAATTTGACGTCAATCATATGTCCAGTGACGTATTTTGATATTTGTTAGACGGATAACATAAAAATAATGATTATAATTGTGGGGTACGATTCTGACGAAAGAGCACATTTGTAGGCTATGGTTTTAGTAGAAAGTGACTGCAATTCACAATCGACGCATTACGAACGGCCTTTGAAATTGTGTATGACAAGAAAGATATATTATGATTATGCAATTATACGTTTAGCCTTCAAATTAACACCTAGGTGATAAAAGATAAAAAAGATTTATTTGTGAAAAGATACCTATAAAAAAGGATTACATGGTAATATTTGATAATAGAGGACTAAATATGAAAACTTCCATTTATAAATGAGCAATTATGAATTTACTCTAAATTATAATTCCAAAAACCTAGGGACCAACTTTGAAGTGATGCAAGTTTTCTCGTAAAAATTCATATTTGGTGGGGTGGGTTCGTGTCCGGGCAGATGGGGGTCTGCCAGGAGGATTAAGAGGGGTAGAATTGTGAATTTTACGAACATGTTACGGTAGGAGTTCTATATTTTTATTTCCAAATAAGAGTTACAATGTCAATAATGTCAACATATAATACCAAAAACACTGTGGCCGGATTGCCAATAAATGGTGCAAACTATAATTTTGAGAACGAAAGCACGAGTGTCGTATTTTGTTACTTTGTCTATGTTTTACTCTTATTTTAGATTATTTCTTAAAACATAATTTGCCACAATAAACTAAAAACTTAAGATTCCTTATTTGACAAATTCTTCTCTAGTCTTAAGGTCAATGCTTATTCTAAGGACCTTAGTGTATTGATATCACAAAAGAATTATGAATTTCGCCAAAAATAAAAATATCCCCACTTGTCGGCCTATGAGAAGTGTGAAAAGGTCCACATTTCACATGTGGACCGTATGACAACTGAATAACAACTCATCTTATTTTATCCTAATTCATATGGTCTACTTTTCTTTTGTTTTAACCACCATCTGCTTTTTCAACTTTATGTTCTATTTTTTTCCTTGTTCTATTGGGGAAAAAAATGAAATACCCCGAAAATATTTCATTTTTAATCAATGATAAATGGAGAAAAAGAGAATATTTCATTTTTAAAAATAACATCCTTTGAACATTCTTTTAATTTAAAGAAACAAGTTCACAGAATAAATAATTTAAATCGAACAGCTTTGGGTCATCCATTTCACTGAGCATCACTAATTATCAGGCTGCTCGTCTAATCCTTGATTCATACTTGCGTGTAGTCAAAGAGAACAAACACTAAAGCTCAGCTGAAAAGCTGATTGAGAATATAACTAACGCTATAACTAATTTGAAAACTAACATGCGTTTATATATAATCATGTAATATTCAAATAATCAACAAATGTCATTATTCAATAGTATGATTAATTAACTGTTTGATTCTATCCTCACATAAATACACTACTCTTAACCTACATGTTAAGGTTCATTCACTTTCAATAGACTAGAGTCATGGACATTCAAGCTTTTCCTGGAGCCATTCTCAAAACATTAGAGAACTTTTTTGAGGCAGGTTGGAGCCCCTCTCTGGTACAACCGAATAGGTGCTGGACTCCCATGCGTACATTTCTAACCCAAGACCTGAGAGTTATGTGAAGCTCGCTCAACCAGGCCTAAATCCTAAATCTTAACTTAATGGTCATTCAAAATTTATAATTCAATTTAGATCCCCCTAATACTACTTGGAGACTTATTCTTCAATCAAAAATCATTATTCACATTTTATCACCAATAAGTTCCAATACAAACATATTCAACAGAATCAATCAATCCAATATTCATACTCACCAATTCAATGTCAATTGAACGAGAATATATTAACGAATACTAATCTATGAATCAATCGTAGCAAGAGATATATGAACCATGAATCACCCTAAAGATCACATTAGACGAATTGGACAAACTAAACCAATCAAATCAACAAGAGAGGACCATAACGGTGATAGGCGCGGTAACAACAGCAGTAACGACAACCCAAGGCTAAGACTACTGCTCGAGCACACTCCCTCTTTCGAGATCCAATACTTCGTGTGTCAATACTTTCTCCCCAAATAGGAGACATAGGTAGTGTTCTCTTCAACTTATTTCTGCTACTTATTGTTTATTCTTATTAGAATCAGATTAAATGAGATCAAATCCATTCAGATTAGATTAGACTCATTCTGATGAGGTCAAATCCAATTATATCGGATCCATTCAGATCAGATTCATTTAGATCAGAAAATTATTTAAAAAATAATAAAAAATTTACAATATTAATAATGATTAAATTAATAATAATCATTATTATTAACTAATAATAATAATAATAACTATAATAATAATAATAGTGATCCTAAATTTCAAATTGTCATATTATATCCTAAATGTTATTCTCTTCCTTCCCCATTTTGATTACAAAGTAAGAATTACAAGGTAAAATCCCACGATTTTTAAAATTATTTTAATTACAAATTAGTACTTCAATAAGAATATTTTATTTAATTTATCAAATAATCAATGAAAATACACCAATAAATAAAAGTTATCGAGAAGAGAGAGAAAATAAAATTATAATCAAAATTACCATGTAGACCTGCCACGTGTCGCAATTCCGAAAGCCCAACTATTAAATTTTATTTATAAAGATATGTGTGTGTGTGTGTGTGTGTATGTATGTATATATGTGTGTATGTATGTATGTATGTGTGTGTGTGTCTATATATATATATATATATATATATATATATATATATATATATAT